AGTTCTAATTGCAGTGCTTTTCGTATTTGTTGTAGAGTGTTCGAAATTAGTACATTTAGCGCTTTTGTTTTTTCAATGTTTTTCCTTTATATTATATAGCATGTTATAGATTATACTTACTTTGTGCTCTATAGTTCTAATTGCAGTGCTTTTCGTATTTGTTGTAGTGTGTTCGAAATTAGTACATTTAGCCTTTTGTTTTTTCAATGTTTTTCCTTTATATTATATAGCATGTTATAGATTATACTTACTTTGTGCTCTATAGTTCTAATTGCAGTGCTTTTCGTATTTGTTGTAGAGTGTTCGAAATTAGTATATTTAGCGCTTTTGTTTTTCAATGTTTTTCCTTTATATTATATAGCATGTTATAGATTATACTTACTTTGTGCTCTATAGTTGTAATTGCGATGCTTTTCGTATTCGTTGTAGAGTGTTCGGAATTAGTACATTTAGCGCTTTTGTTTTTTCAATGTTTTCCCTTTATATTATATAGCATGTTATAGATTATACTTACTTTGTGCTCTATAATTCTAATTGCGGTGCTTTTCGTATTCGTTGTAGAGTGTTGGAATTAGTACATTTAGCGCTTTTGTTTTTTCAATGTTTTCCCTTTATATTATATAGCATGTTATAGATTATACTTACTTTGTGCTCTATAGTTCTAATTGCAGTGCTTTTCGTATTTGTTGTGGTGTTCGAAATTAGTACATTTAGCGCTTTTGTTTTTTCAATGTTTTTCCTTTATATTATATAGCATGTTATAGATTATACTTACTTTGTGCTCTATAATTGTAATTACGATGCTTTTCGTATTCGTTGTAGAGTGTTCGGAATTAGTACATTTAGCGCTTTTGTTTTTTCAATGTTTTCCCTTTATATTATATAGCATGTTATAGATTATACTTAGTTCTAATTGCAGTGCTTTTTGTATTTGTTGTGAGTGTTCGAAATTAGTACATTTAGCGCTTTTGTTTTTTCAATGTTTTCCCTTTATATTATATAGCATGTTATAGATTATACTTACTTTGTGCTCTATAGTTCTAATTGCAGTGCTTTTCGTATTTGTTGTAGTGTGTTCGAAATTAGTACATTTAGCGCTTTTGTTTTTTCAATGTTTTCCTTTATATTATATAGCATGTTATAGATTATACTTACTTTGTGCTCTATAGTTCTAATTGCAGTGCTTTTCGTATTTGTTGTGGTGTGTTCGAAATTAGTACATTTAGCGCTTTTGTTTTTCAATGTTTTTCCTTTATATTATATAGCATGTTATAGATTATACTTACTTTGTGCTCTATAATTGTAATTACGATGCTTTTCGTATTCGTTGTAGAGTGTTCGGAATTAGTACATTTAGCGCTTTTGTTTTTTCAATGTTTTCCCTTTATATTATATAGCATGTTATAGATTATACTTACTTTGTGCTCTATAGTTCTAATTGCAGTGCTTTTCGTATTTGTTGTGGTGTGTTCGAAATTAGTACATTTAGCGCTTTTGTTTTTTCAATGTTTTCCCTTTATATTATATAGCATGTTATAGATTATACTTACTTTGTGCTCTATAGTTCTAATTGCAGTGCTTTTCGTATTTGTTGTAGAGTGTTCGAAATTAGTACATTTAGCGCTTTTGTTTTTTCAATTTTTCCCTTTATATTATATAGCATGTTATAGATTATACTTACTTTGTGCTCTATAATTGTAATTACGATGCTTTTCGTATTCGTTGTAGAGTGTTCGAAATTAGTACATTTAGCGCTTTTGTTTTTTCAATGTTTTCCTTTATATTATATAGCATGTTATAGATTATACTTACTTTGTGCTCTATAGTTCTAATTGCAGTGTTTTTCGTATTTGTTGTAGTGTGTTCGAAATTAGTACATTTAGCCCTTTTGTTTTTTCAATGTTTTCCCTTTATATTATATAGCATGTTATAGATTATACTTACTTTGTGCTCTATAGTTTTAATTGCGGTGCTTTTCGTATTCGTTGTAGAGTGTTCGAAATTAGTATATTTAGCGCTTTTGCTTTTTCAATGTTTTTCCTTTATATTATATAGCATGTTATAGATTATACTTACTTTGTGCTCTATAGTTGTAATTGCGGTGCTTTTCGTATTTGTTGTAGTGTGCTCGAAATTAGTACATTTAGCGCTTTTGTTTTTTCAATGTTTTGCCGTTATATTATATAGCATGTTATAGATTATACTTACTTTGTGCTCTATAATTGTAATTACGGTGCTTTTCGTATTCGTTGTAGAGTGTTCGGAATTAGTACATTTAGCGCTTTTGTTTTTTCAATATTTTCCCTTTATATTATATCGCAAGTTATAGATTATACTTAGTTCTAATTGCAGTGCTTTTTGTATTTGTTGTGGTGTGTTCGAAATTAGTACATTTAGCGCTTTTGTTTTTTCAATATTTTCCCTTTATATTATATAGCATGTTATAGATTATACTTACTTTGTGCTCTATAGTTCTAATTGCAGTGCTTTTCGTATTTGTTGTGGTGTGTTCGAAATTAGTACATTTAGCGCTTTTGTTTTTTCAATGTTTTCCCTTTATATTATATAGCATGTTATTGATTATACTTACTTTGTGCTCTATAATTGAAATTACGATGCTTTTCGTATTCGTTGTAGAGTGTTCGAAATTATACATTTAGCGCTTTTGTTTTTTCAATGTTTTCCCTTTATATTATATAGCATTTTATAGATTATACTTACTTTGTGCTCTATAATTGTAATTACGATGCTTTTCGTATTCGTTGTAGAGTGTTCGGAATTAGTACATTTAGCGCTTTTGTTTTTTCAATGTTTTCCTTTATATTATATAGCATGTTATAGATTATACTTAGTTCTAATTGCAGTGCTTTTTGTATTTGTTGTGGTGTGTTCGAAATTAGTACATTTAGCGCTTTTGTTTTTTCAATGTTTTCCCTTTATATTATATAGCATGTTATAGATTATACTTACTTTGTGCTCTATAATTGTAATTACGATGCTTTTCGTATTCGTTGTAGAGTGTTCGAAATTCGTACATTTAGCGCTTTTGTTTTTTCAATGTTTTCCCTTTATATTATATAGCATTTTATAGATTATACTTACTTTGTGCTCTATAATTGTAATTACGTGCTTTTCGTATTAGTTGTAGAGTGTTCGGAATTAGTACATTTAGCGCTTTGTTTTTTCAGTGTTTTCCTTTATATTATATAGCATGTTATAGATTATACTTACTTTGTGCTCTATAGTTCTAATTGCAGTGCTTTTTGTATTCGTTGTAGAGTGTTCGAAATCAGTACATTTAGCGCTTTTGGTTTTTCAATGTTTTCCCTTTATATTATATAGCATGTTATAGATTATACTTACTTTGTGCTCTATATTCTAATTGCGGTGCTTTTCGTATTCGTTGTAGAGTGTTCGAAATTAGTACATTTAGCGCTTTTGTTTTTTCAATGTTTTCCTTTATATTATATAGCATGTTATAGATTATACTTACTTTGTGCTCTATAGTTCTAATTGCAGTGTTTTTCGTGTTTGTTGTGGTGTGCTCGAAATTAGTACATTTAGCGCTTTTGTTTTTTCAATGTTTTTCCGTTATATTATATAGCATGTTATAGATTATACTTACTTTGTGCTCTATAATTGTAATTACGATGCTTTTCTTATTCGTTGTAGAGTGTTCGGAATTAGTACATTTAGCGCTTTTGTTTTTTCAATATTTTCCCTTTATATTATATAGCATGTTATAGATTATACTTAGTTCTAATGGCAGTGCTTTTTGTATTTGTTGTGGTGTGTTCGAAATTAGTACATTTAGCGCTTTTGTTTTTTCAATATTTTCCCTTTATATTATATAGCATGTTATAGATTATACTTACTTTGTGCTCTATAGTTCTAATTGCAGTGCTTTTCGTATTTGTTGTGGTGTGTTCGAAATTAGTACATTTAGCGCTTTTGTTTTTTCAATGTTTTCCCTTTATATTATATAGCATGTTATAGATTATACTTACTTTGTGCTCTATAATTGTAATTACGATGCTTTTCGTATTCGTTGTAGAGTGTACGAAATTCATACATTTAGCGCTTTTGTTTTTTCAATGTTTTCCCTTTATATTATATAGCATTTTATAGATTATACTTACTTTGTGCTCTATAATTGTAATTACGATGCTTTTCGTATTCGTTGTAGAGTGTTCGAAATTAGTACATTTAGCGCTTTTGTTTTTTCAATATTTTCCCTTTATATTATATAGCATGTTATGGATTATACTTAGTTCTAATTGCAGTGCTTTTTGTATTTGTTGTGGTGTGTTCGAAATTAGTACATTTAGCGCTTTTGTTTTTTCAATGTTTTCCCTTTATATTATATAGCATGTTATCACTACCAAAAAAACTGTTTTCTATTACGGCCGGAAAATCGTAACAAAAAGCCATATTTCGTGCAATTTGCGTATTTGCTACGCCTTTGTTACGACTTTTTTCCGTAATGTGTACTCGCGTAACGAATGTTTTTTGCCACGCCACTTTTCGTAACTATTACGATCGGTCAACGCTCCCTGAAGTATGGTATTTGTTACGATGTTTGTTACGAATTTTCTCTCGTAACGAAAGGTAGATCCTTCCGCGCGTGTGGCAGGACTTTTAGTTACGGTATTTGTTACGGAAGTTCCTCGCGTTACAAGTGTTTTCCATTGACCGGTTGTCAGAACTTGGTTTTTGTTACGACTATTTGTAACGGCATTGAACCCCGTAAAAAAAATATTACCTACTTATAGTCACGAAACCGTCTGTAACAACAAATATCCAAAGACCACTTTTTGTAACGATTTTCTGGCCTTTTGTTACGGAAAAATAGCGTATTGTGAAAAACAGGGGGTACGCTGCAATTGAAATTGTTCGTAACAAATGGACCTGCTGTGATGCGTATGATACGAAAATAAATTACGAATACAAAGATTGCTATAAACATCATCATCATTACGCCCCGCGCAAACATTAATTCATATTAAAATCTGAATTCCATACCTACCAACAAAGTAAAGCAACCCATAGAACAAGCCTACTAGTATCTACACATCAACAACCTGTTCCGCAAAACGTGCTTAACAGTTCAAACACAAGTAAACAACGCAATAAGCAAATACGGTTATCCATCAATCCCATTAGGCACATTTTTCACCATACGAATTCAAACCACAAAGGTCTACGCATCAATTCCAGACATAGTTCAACAAAAACTCAACACAATCCATCCAAAGACAGGTTCGACATTCAATCCATATGACAAACGGGGCAATTAACATGGGTGTATCGGTACCAACATTTCAAGCCCGGCGCATGAGCTGCAATTGCCAACACAGAGATTACTTTAAGTCATACTTCTTATAAATTTCGGAAGGCAATACAAGAAAGGTATTAAAGTAGATCCTTACGTCCTTGTAGCTCCACTCAATAGGATCTTCGCCGACGACATCGCGAAGGGTAGTCGCCCCAGAAATGGTCGGCAAAATAAGGGGTGTGTCCGGGACTGACGCGGATGTCACGAAGACCTTGACCAAGGAAAGTGTGTCACCTACAGCATTCACAAGAGCAATTTTTGATTACATTCAAGCATATATATCAACAGACGTTCGAACTGTATATATAACATGTCATAACACAGACATTATAAGTGTAATACTTTGGAACTAGAACAAGAGGAGTACGTACATTCAGACATGTCGTACAGTACATGGTATTACATTCATGAGTTAGGTAGCGAAGCACATTATACCCTAATTTCCTATGTAATTGCAGCTTGATCTTTAAACCAAACATCCTTCAATAAACATGGGTCGTCATAATAGCAGTTATTTTACCACCCCTACATTAACAGTCTACATCGCTTTGGAAATCCACGGATCGTATCATTGTATACTTCTACACTTAGTGAATCCATGCTAATACGCAATATGAGGCCTGAACAGTCACGAAAACCTACGATATCTCGCTGAGGCATATTAAAAGTTTAATTAAACATCCTCAAAGATACCGGACCAACCTGGCCCAGGGGGGCAGAGCAGAAGTCCCTCTGCAACAACTTTTTTCTCACCGGTGCGGGATAATAGAAGCACATGTGTGCCGACCTACAACAGACAGGGCATATGAGTTGGATAAGGTAGTACGCAGTCAAGAGTAGCCTAAATTAGACACTGCACTGATTTCTAAGAAACTCCAGGGCGTCACGGAATCATACCGTCATGCTTGGCTCGGACACAGGCCTGGGAATCTCAGGGACTGAATCAATACGAGATGTGCCCTATCATATAACATGCCGAGGATGGTAAATTCCTTCGCCATCCAAATCTCATGGGATACTCATACCAAACAGGTCAGGGATTATGAATACTTACTGCCTGGCCAGTAACCGCTCCGGAGTTTCTGTGCATGAATGCATACACATCAGCCTTGATGGTTTTGAACTCATCCATCATTGCCTTCAGCTCCTCCATTCCATTCTGTAGTTGTTCCCACCCATGCTGGAATGCTACACTGTCTGTTAAACCAGTTGACTCGCTGCGGGGATGAGCTGAACTTGCCGCACTGTCGACCTTTGACCGCTTCTTAATCTTTCCCCCAAGGGCCCGTCGGTACAGAGTCTCCCGAACAGAGGGAGTCCGCCCTTCAGGGGGAACCTTGTTTAGCTCATTCTGTAAATAAGTCTACAGGAAAGATTTAAGTGAGGCCGAACTTGCTCTTGTTGTTAGAGATGTAAATACTGACTGAATTGTAACTAAGTTGGGAACGAATTTATTCTACCAATATCTCCTCGGTTTCTTGGTCATCCTTTCCCTTGCCTTGTGTGCGACTGGAAATCCAAATCTCCAGATTGTCGGGGTCCTTCCCCTTTGCCTTGATCTGCAGCAATACAAGGCCTTCTGTCATCGAAAACATAATGAAATACAGGAGAGGAAAATATGGGGATGGAGCATGACATGACTAATTACTTAATTGTAATAAAAGGTACCTCCTCTGCCAGAGTCGTGAATGACTTCCGCCCAGTACGATGTGGAAAGCTTCTTTTCGCTACGTTCGACGCATTTTTCTTGGATTGAAGCTACGTCAATCAAAGTTATTTAGTTCTCAGTCCATGCCCGTGCAGATTTAACGTATATTAATTTGGCATGTCCCTATGCGTACCTTCACCTTCTCGTCGCGCCAATACTCAACCAACTTCGGCCACTGATCGGGCACAATCCTGCTTGAGGGAACCTTCTTCAGTGCTTCTTCATCGTCCTCGATCGGATTGAAGTAAGTTGATTTGATGCTGTATTTCCAGTGCCTCCAAACTTCCCTTAGGTCAGCCAAGACCACTTTCTCCGCTGAGTCTGGTAATCCGCTGTTACTCTGGAATGCCGTTTCACACGGTTTCCACCAGGTCCGGAGAAGATGGTAGGGCCATATATAAGAATCTATATGAAATAAAAGAACTTTCAATTTAATGAAGTTTGCATCACCTGAACCTCCATCCATGCACCCTGTCTCTTCGTCTCCGGTATCTCAGCGAACGTGGGGTAATGTAGAGGAAGTCGAGCTCCGTTGCGTGCAATGACCCCAATGGCTGTCTTGTACTCGTTTACGTCGGGTCCGACGATGCTTTTACCATCCGGCGATGTGAATACAAGCATCCTGTGATCTTTTCCCCATCCACGCGGCATTCGTGCCGCCCCTCTCCCCTGCTTTTTCTTTGACGAACCAGCTGACACAAACAGGAGATTACATGTTCTAATAAGGATATTACATGCAAAATATGAAGTCACTAAATGTAATCGGTAATCTTTGAAGGCTAATTTCCAAACCGTCGTGCGATGTCATCTCGTCCAATGGTGCCATATTGCCCGCCTCTGTTCCTGTCATCAGAGTGGGGTCGGAGCCTGGCCCTTCATCCAAGAGTGGCATATCACTCTCTGCAGTCTCCATGTCCTGCGTCGGCGGAAGTGTCTCGTCATCTGCTTGTGTGGGGGGGATTGTATCATCGTCATCCTGTGTCAGTGCCGTCGGATCAAAAAGTGATGGAACATCCCTATCATCATGTTCCTGTTGGGGTTAACAGTGTCAGCCTATTGTAGTGTTATACTGAGAGTTCAAATAAGGACATGCTTTCGGCAAAGGAACCACATTACCTCCAAAGGGCCCTCTGAATCCTGAAGCACTCTTCGAGTGGAAGATGTTGGCTTCATGCTTTGACCACGAGCATCGCGCTCTTTCTCCCACTCTGATGTGATGGACCGGAGTCGCTGGAGCAGTGGCGAGACCCGAGATCCCTTCCGTTTTGTCACTTTCTTTGTGGGATTGCGGATGGGCGATGGATTCCTGCTTGCGGGATGAGTTGCCTCTAGGGGGCTGTTACGTGCGGATGCCCGGGTAAAACGTCTTGCGGGAGAGACTGCCGGATCCTGTGACCCTCCAACGGCAGCACGTTGAGATTTGCCCATAACCTGCAAGACACCAGTGTTAGTTGGCAGTATGAAAACGTATATTAGGAGAAAATCAAAACACACTTATCACAACAAAGCTTATGAAGTGACATATTACGAGAAATTCACATAATAGTTACTGCAATTAATCAGGGTAAATTGCTTCAGCATACGCAAACGGGGGTAAAGAGCTTATCCGCGTTGACATATTCGGAAAAAATCATAACATCCTGCGCGCGCATAATGGATGCAAAGTGCTTCAGCAAATCAAGCGAAAACAGGGCCTATGAACGATGGCATGCATGTCCGAAAGTGGTTACCTATTACGTACTTCAATCACCGACCCCCCCTCCCCACATAGATGACCATCTGTTGAGATGTGTAATTTATTCTGAACTGCGAACTCAAAAAGGTTGCGTGGTTGCCAAACCATCAAAAATGGGCCAATTAGGCTATATTCGCATACTACCAAAAATGCCCGCTTATTTGATTCTGCGCTAAGCACCATCATCTTCGGAGGATTCCTCCGAATCCGAAGGCGAAGTATCGGCATGGTCCATCTGCCCTGCATCTTCTACTACTTGCCCCTCAATACCTTCCCTTAGCCAGTAATCGGCTGCTCCTCTAACATTGCCTCCGTCATCTAAAGGTAACCCTGTGCTGAATCTATGATCGATCGTACTATACACGTCATACGTGTCTCGCCGTGACACCGGAACGACAACGCTCCAACCTTCATCAACCGGGTCTGCAATGTACCACACCTGAGAGGCTTGGGTCGCTAAGATGAAAGGCTCATCCGTGGGCAAGTTCTTGGGGTACATCAAATACTTAAAGTTCACACATTTATATTTGAACTCATCCTCTTTAACGCCCCTCTCCAGATCCACCCAGTCACATTTTAAAAGGAGATACTTCTGTTGATTGCTATAGTACACTTCCACAATGTCCGTAAGAATCCCGTAATATGCCACGGAACCTTCTCGTGGGTTATGGTCCCTAGCTGAGGCATAACTCACTGTATCTGCCGTAACCATAACACCTGCACACTGTGTCCTCTTCCTTGCATCCCGGTCTTGAACACGATAGCGTATTCCTGACACAATGCACGAAGAGTACCGTGTTGCATTGCATAATGGTCCACCCGCCAATGCACGGATCTCCGCTGAGATTGGGCACTCATCATTATTCGTCGGATCATCTACCTACATTTGATGTAAAGTAGTTCATGAACACTCGTGATTTCAATGTTTTTTGGGAGTGTAGTCAAGATACCACGTACGGACGATGTAGGCGGTACTCACATATGATTGAAACCAAGACGCAAATTGTTCGTTGTGCTGCTGGTGCACCTCACGTGGGGGTGCGCGAGTTCGACATGACCTAATAGTATCAAGGTGAATCCTACAGTGCAAAAATAAAAGTCGAAGATATTCAACACAGGTCGGATACGCATACAAGTATTGTTAAATTGATGTGAAAAAACCTTCGCAACGGACTGATTTCATCTATATTTCCTAGGATGTAGCAATGAATTTGGTGCATCGTATTGTAATCAAGATTGAACCTAGAACCAAACAATCCTTTCCCGTGTTGTGTCCCGTCCTCCTCCCCTCGAGCAGCCCGGTTCTCTTTGGTCTCTATGTCTCCGAGATATCTTGAGCAGAAAGTCACGCATTCTTCCATGAGGTATCCACGTGCAATCGAACCCTCAGGTTGTGCCCTGTTCCGTACGTACCTCTTCAGAGTACCCAAGTACCGCTCAATGGGATACATCCACCGGTACTGCACCGGACCGGCCACCATAGCCTCCTCAGCCAAATGGATAGGCAGATGCTCCATTACATCAAAGAATGAAGGTGGGAATAGCTTTTCAAGATGGCATAGCGTCAAAGAAATTCTTTCTTGGATTCGCTCCAGTTCACGAACTGTGTTATGAGCTGAGCACATCGAATTGAAGAAGTTACAAAGTTCAATCAACACGAGCACAACATTTTTGGGAAGACACCTACAGGAAGTGTTGAATCAGCACCTTCAGTTATATTTAGAGGAGGCATATATCATGTTAATTAAAATAATTGCGTTTCAAGGGTATACCGTCGGGCAGCAATAGGTAGAATTCGTTGCATAAGAACATGGCAATCGTGGCTCTTAAGTCCCCATATTAGTTGTTGTTCTACCTTCACACGACGCGATAAGTTTGAACTGAACCCATGAGGTGGTCGGAGGTCCTTCAACACAGATAGGAATATCCGTTTTTCGGGGTTACTCATGGTGTACGTAGCTGCCGGCAAATATATAGCGCCCCTAGGACCCGATACCGGGTGTAAAGAACTACGTATTTGCATCAACTGTAAGTCTTTCCTCGTGTTCAGATTGTCCTTTGTTTTCCCCTTAGTTCCCAACAATGTATACAGTACATTCTCACACACATTCTTTTCAATGTGCATCAAGTCGAGGTTGTGACGTACCTCATTCTCAGACCAATAAGGGAGCTGAAAGAATATGCTCTTTTTTTTCCACACCTGTTGCTGCCCGTCCACCCCCCGGCGACGCTTGCGAGACCCCTGTGCAATGCGTTTCTCAATCAAGTCAACCGTACGATACTCAGTAGGCATATCCTGAAGCTGCTGCAGAAGTTCAGCGCCGGTCAAGCGAGAAGGCTTTCCGTCAAAGCTCATCGAACCGTCAAATGCATGTTTATCAAAGCGCATTCTATGCCCAGCCGGCAGGAACCGTCGATGCCCGCAATAGCTATACTTATGTCCATTTTTCAGGTATCTGGAATGAGTTTTTAAACCACAAACAGGGCATGCATTCGCCCCACGAGTCGGCCACCCTGACAACATACCGTAACCGGGAAAATCACTAATAGTCCACAGCAATGCAGCTCGCATCTGGAAATCCTCCTTAGTACTCGCATCGTACGTCCGAACACCATCATACCAAAGCTCCTTAAGCTCATCGATCAAAGGTTGAAGGAAGACATCAATCCGATCCCCCGGGCCATGCGGGCCGTCTATAATCGTAGAGAGGATGAACGATGGTTGCTTCATGCACAGCCACGGAGGTAGGTTATATATCACAAGTACGACGGGCCAAATACTATAACTCACACTCATATTCCCAAAAGGGTTGAAACCGTCAGTGGCCAGACCGAGGCGTACGTTGCGAATCTCCTCAGAGAACGTCGGGTACCGATGATCGAAACTCTTCCACGCAGGACTATCTGCTGGATGACGCATCTTGCCATCGTCTACACGCCCTTCGGCATGCCATCTCATAGAAGATGCAGTTTTGGAAGATACGTACCATCGCTGCAATCGCGGAATTAATGGAAAGTACCTTAACTTCTTCACTGGAGATCTATCTTTACCCTGTGTAAATCGCTTTTCCCCACACACAACACAAACCTCACGGTCAACATCTTCCCCGGTAAACAACATGCAATTGTTGATGCACGCATGGATAGTCTTGCATGTGAACCCCAAGTCCTTGGTCAGCTTATTAGCCTCATAGAAGTTCTTCGGAAGGACAACATCGTCTGGAAGTGCATCCCGTAACAGCTCTAACAGCAAATCAATAGAATTATTAGACCAGTGGCACAAAACCTTCAAGTGCAAAAGCCGTGCGATAAACGAGAGTCTACTCATCTTCTTGCACCCTGGTATGAGCTCTTTCTCTACATCTTCTAACATCTTTCTATACCCCTTACTGCCATGATGTATATGTTCATTTTCGTCATCCCTATGAGGTTCATTTCCACTGGGCCCCGGATCGGTGTGCTCTGTATATGCACACTCTCGCAATAGAAGTTCTAGTTCCTCCTCCCAACGCATTGGCATATTGTCGTTTGCAACAGCAGGGTTCACCTCTCCTTCTCCGTGGCAAGTCCAAACCTTGTAGGTTTGGTCGAATCCATAACGAATACAATGGAGCAAGACATCTCTACGAGATTTTGTTAAGCGATTTCCGCAAGATGTACAGGGGCAATAGATGCAAGATTCAGAGCTACGATCTTTAAATGCGAAATCTAAGAAAGCCCTGACCCCGTCCAAATATTGAGCGGAGATATGGTTCGCATCGTCTATCCAACTCCTATCCATCTAGCAATATAATATACATGCGATTCCATCAACAAAACATGCAACCAAAAACATATAAGTACAACATAACCTTCACCGATATAATAGGAAACATGGATGCTCTTCATGACGCTAGCATTATAATTTATCACAACATTAAGGCACATGGACCAAAATCAGCAGCCCTCACCACTTAAAAATCTTCCATAGATGCAATGTAAATAGTATTATATGGATATATTTCCCGTCACAAATGCTGGGCCGTCACAAATAGACACATCAGCAGCAAGAGAGAGTGAGAAAGAAGTGAAAAAGTTTCTGAAATTGACAAGACATGGGGAGCATGGGGGGGACATCCGTGTGTATGCTGCAACCACTATATCTATCTATCTATCTATCTATATGGGACTGGAAGATGGAGATTGAGATGGAAGACGTGTACTATAAGAATTTTGAGATAGATATACATATATATATAGAGGTACAGAAATGGCTCTCTACCCCAATTAGAGGGATACAAATAGGAATAGTACACAGCACCAAAGCCACAAGATTCACTGTATCTGTTTCCACCAAAACTGCATTTGCATCATCTTCTTCTCACATTACTACTCTCGCCCTCATCCTTTACTCTCTACTCTCTACT